TAATAATAAAATAACATTTTTAATTATACTATTTGAGTATAATAAAATAATAAATTTTATTTTCTATTCTAGTATAATTTAAAAATAATAAAATAATATTTTATTTACTATTCGAGTATAATTGAAAAATAATAAAATAAGATTTTTAATTTTACTATTACTTATCAAAAAAAAAAAAAAAAGATTTTTAATTTTACTATTAGAATATAATAAAATATATTTTAAAATTTATTATGTATTGAAGTATAATTGAAAAATAATAAAATAATGAAATGATATTTCTCTAATTGTGAAAAATAATAAAATAATAAATAATAGTATTTGAAAACCAAAACTGAAAACCAAAGTTTCATTTTGGAGTTGGGGGAATTGTGAAGGAAATGACAACTAATTTTCAAAAGTTTTTAAATGTGAAAAGTCAAAATAGAGTATCCAAACGGACTTTGTTGCCGATTTATAAAAAAAATGAAAAGTGCAACAGAAAACCTTAGTATTAAAATTGAACATTTCATTTGTCTAATTTAAGTTGTACTTTCAACTTACTCAAGTTGCTGCCCCAGTCCCAGCTAAACAATTACCAAAAATTGCATAATGTCTAAAGGGGTAAGTAATTTTTTTTTATTAGTAAGGTAAAAATAGTTTTAATCAAAAAACATTAATTAAGAGAGTTTTTTTTTTTTTTTTTTTGGTAGCAACGTAAGAATTAGAAGTTAGATTAGTAGATGCAGAGAGTTCGAAACCTGGTACTCCAAAGTTCATTGGAGACACGGAGACACTAACCCATCGAGGTGTCCCTTCTCAAATTAAAGAGATGTTGAGTATTGAAACGAAATATTAAAAGAGCAATAATTTGTGTGTTTGGGTTTGCTCAATCTTTTTACCACGTTTTATGGTAAGTTTTTAACAATTGAACTCTTTTATCATGTAATAATAATTAAAATTCTCATTGTCATGTTTTTTTTATAAAAAAAAAAACTAAAAAATTAAAAGGTTTTATTCATCACTTTAGAGAATGATATACAGTTGAGAGGAATGATACATGAAAAAAAATTTAGGTGAGAGGAAATGGCATTTTAAGAACTCGTTTGTCAAGAACAACACACACACACACACACACATATATATACACACCTTGCGCAAATCATAGAAGGAAGATAAAATTGCCCTCCGTTTTAATTAGTAGACTTGCAATACTCCACTTCCTTAAGAAAAAAAAAAAAAAAGAAATAATTATTCTTTAAAAATACCCTCATGCTCCACAATTATTCAAAAGCCATATTCTCATACTCTATTTGTAAAGAGTTATAAATAAAATAATAATGCAAGTTAATATCATATCAAATTTAAAAATAATTAAAATTAAATAATGATAAATAGTTCGAAAGTAGGATACATCCGACTATATGACGTGAGTAAAGATAACGTTAGTTCGAAAGTATGATACATCTGACTATATGACGTGAGTGAGAATGACATTATTATTATGTTATCGTGACGGTATTCTTTACTCATAAAAATTTAATCGCATGCTCGGACTCTCTTTTATCATAATTTATTAAAATATGACTCGTAGTATATCTAATCACCTGTGCCATTACATGTAAAAAGACACTTCATTATAAAACTCAAATGTAGGTGCAAAGTATACGTGCAGCAGAGTAAGGCATGTGCAAATTAATATAAGAAGATGCAAGCAACAAAACAGGAACTTTCTAGGGGTGGAGTGGAGTAATGTAATTTGTTCACTCATTAATTAACTTGTTAGCCCCCAATCCTAACTGCGTTATTAGTTATTTATTTAGCACATGTTTCATGCGTCCAACAATTAATTACATAGCCCTCCAAAGTTCAACAGACGCATTTCGGATCAACAATCTTACTTCAAACTATTGTTTAATGAAACAAAGTGTCTAATATTGATTTATTAAGAATTATATAGAAAAGATAGTGTCGAAAAATTAATACATGTACGCATTATAAAAAAAGTCAGGAAAAATGATTGAATAGAGTTTGGGAAATTTTCCGGTTGGACTTTTGGGAGACAAAGTCATATTTAAACGGTCGAATTTTGAGAAGTCAATATATTCAAATGGTTGAATTCAATGTTCCAATTCTCCTAGGCTTATTATGTGTGTGAACACAAACATGTGGGTATTTCTGGGTGTTGTGCAATATATAAAAAAGAGGTATAATTTGGATAAAATGTCACTATAACAGCTCATGCAATAGACGAATTGGCATTAGACCTCTAAATTATGTTCAACCCAGGTAGAAGTGTTATCTTGAATTTACACAATACCTGATGAAAATTGCAAGTGAATAATACCTAAAATTTTCAAGTTCTGCCATCACATGTATAAACCGACTCGATTAAATTGCATCTTTAAGGTCAAACATTGCATCAATGATTTGTACGGGGATCTTGAATTTACATAATACTTCGATGAAAATTGCAAGTGAATAATATCCAAAATTTTCAAGGTCTGATATGCATACATCGACTCCATCAAAATGCATCTTTAAGGTCAAAGATTGCATCAATACTGTACCGACATGATGTGTACATTATATGGCGGGTTTTAGCCGTATGATCTTTGGACGTGGAAATGGTACCCCATCCAGTACGTTCATAGGAGACATTTATCACTGCAACTTGTGCTTGCCCAAGTCATTGAGAAATTTAGTGCAAAGTTGACAAACAAACATGTTGGCCCATCTCTTGTTTACAAAGTGCACGTTAATTATTAGTTCACGGCACATGAAATCATCTGAAAACATTTGACATTTCCACTCATTAGTCGGAAAAGGTGGATAACGTAAAACCTTTCATTGTTTGGGTATTACCAAACTCATCATACAAAGTCAACACTGGACACCACCATTTCTACACTATCGTCTGAAATCTTGTGTTTTACAGGGGCACCTCAATGGGTGACATTGATTATTAATTATTGGGTGGGGTAGTTGTTCATTGACGTCATAATAGTTCAATAACATGATCGATTTCAAATTATCAGAAAATTGCTTTATTAAGTTGAGTAGCATTTTAATTTCTTAATTAAATGCAGAGTTTAATATGAGATGCAGGAGTGGCAATTCGCGGATCGTAATCATGTCGTGTTAATTTAAGAGTGTTTTATTAAACAGTTCAACCCGAACACGATCCGTATATGATCATGTCTGAAACCCTCAGTACAAACTCGATCTATTTACGTTTAATGATCTGTTTAATAAAATCAAATATTTTATTATTTAAATTATTAATAATACTACATTAAACACTAAAAAAATATAAGTTTTAATTCAACCAAATTACTAAATAATCTCTGATCTACAAAAGAATAAATTATAAGATACTTAGATAGTTATTTTGAAATTTAAATAGAAATTTGTTTATGACACGTATAGTTAAACAGGTATAAATGAATTACACGGGTTAAACCCCTCAATTCAAATACAATACGATTAACTAAATGGATTAATCGTGTCGATCCGTTTACAATCCGAACTCGTTTAAGGTCAATCCAAACTCATTTAACTCATGTCGTATTTGAGTCGTGTTGACGAGTCGTGTCAAATTTTGCCACCCCTTTATTAAAATGTGTAATTTAATTGTATCTTTCTTTCTTTCAAATGAAATTAAACTCTTGAGTCTTTTCAAGAATATTGTGAGATTTCTATGTTGTAAAAAAAATAAAAATACAAGGTCTAACTGAAACATTAGCACAATGAATTCAAAAACCAGAAAAAAAAACATAAAAATTATTGGTAGCTCTTTATAACTTGCCCATCTTGAGAATAATGATTGAAATAAAAAAATAAGGACATGCACACTGGTTTCTTCTTCGATGCATCCTAATTCCTAAATGACTTTAAGCACGTGATTAATGTCAAACACACCAGACGTTTAGACCCATTCCGGGGTGCCACTAACCCATACTCAAATTTGTCACGGATATGTGATTAACAGACGTTTCTAAAACATGTATATATATATATATATATGTATGGGATGGAATATTATTTTACAACTGTTTGTTACTTGTACTAAACGGGTATAAATAATCAAAAAATACGGCGGAAACCTAATCACTAAAGCCACAATAAGAGAGAGAGAGAGCATCATCACCACTCACGCTTACACGAATTTCACATTCATTCCAACCACTCTCACTTCATCTCCCAACACCTGCACAGGCTTTACGTTCAGTGTTCTATATGTCCCAGGACTGCATATATTTTATTTTGCTTATGTTTGTGTTTGTGTGTGTGTGCGCGCGCGTATATATATATAAATGTTCAGAAGAAATCACGTTGTGAATATTTTAAATGCGAGGTCAAATTAATAGTGAGAAAATAAAATTCAAATAAAATTAATTATAAAGTACAATACTTTCTTTGCCATAGAAATTTCAGAAAATACTTTCGGAAAAAAAAAAAAATCAGAAAATACAGTGCAACATTTATTAATAAATTAAAATTATTTCATAAATTCTAAGTGCATAAAATGATAGGGATATATATATAAATTTCTAAAAATAAGACCTAAAAAGACTCAGATGAGCTTTTCTATAAATTTTGGAGGACCACACGTCAAATCTTTTAAATACTAGTAGTAAAAAAAAAATACTAAGTATTTTGAAACTTACTAATATAAAGGTAATTATTTTTAAGAATCTTACAAAATTGAAGCGTGCCTTTACATAGTTTTGTCTTTGTATGAGTTCACGCTTTACAACGTACAGTTGGATTGGATAGAGAAAAATTAACAGGTAGTCCGTCTATCCAACAAATATGAAATTTACCCTATATACTATTATACTATATATATTTAAGTTTATATAATAAACACATATAAATATATAACTTAAAAAAACAACAAGAAAGAAGAAAAATATGCCAAATATATAATATATAATAATTGAAGTAATAATTAATGATTAAGCAGCTTGTCCAACGCACCCAAGCGTTGAATGTAGAGGAGGTTGCCTTCTTTTGTCCACTCTCACTTAGATTTCAAAAAAATTATATGCATTTAACCTTTTCCTGCGTTGACAATTGCTCTCTATATTAATTATTAGCAGTATCCATATGGGTATGGCGCTAAATAAGTGTGCAGAGATTGCCTCCCCAGTTACTCACCCAAACTCTCAACTTTATCTCTATATCTCTCTCTTACACTACTTACAGGTTCTATCTTCTCTTCATATCTATCACCTTTAAGCCTTCCATGTTCAACTTGGCTTTCAACACAAGTTGAAACAATCCCAAAACAACTTCTTCCTTGTTTGTTTTCTAAGAAAATTAAATTTGCTGCAACTTTTTTTTTCTTTGAGAATGGATGTTGTGAAAAAGAGAGGAAAGAAAAACTTGATCTTGAAGGCGTGGCAGCGGTGTCGATCAATCCATGGTAGCCTCAGCAAATCTCTGGCTATGAATCCGAGTTCTCTATCAAAGAGCAATTCATGGCACAGCAGTAGTAGTACTAGTACCAAAAGATCATCATCATCATCCTGCAAACCTGCAAAGTCACAGGTTGCTCCGGAAGGTTGCTTCTCGGTGTATGTTGGGCCGGAGAAACAGAGGTTCGTGATCAAGACCAAGTACGCCAATCATCCACTGTTCAAGATGCTGCTTGAAGATGCTGAATTGGAATATGGGTACAACAGTGATGGCCCTATCTTGCTTCCATGTGATGTCCATCTTTTTTACAGTGTGTTAGCGGAGATGGACAGCAAAGATCATCAGATCAGTCCTCGTTGTGGATTCTCATATGCCTTGTGTAGCCCTTTCAATCCAAGTCGGCGTTTGGGTAACAGTGACATGGCCAAAGGTTATGGTTCATATGGAATTCTCACTCCATCGCGATTGCTTAAGATGAATTAGAATCAACTGCGTATATATCTATCATATCTATGGGATCGATGTCATTTTGTATGCTTATGTATCAATCAAAAAAAGGATATGTATAGTCTCTACATGTGACTTTTCCTTTCCCCTTTGTGTCTCTAGCTATATAGATCGAAGGCCATCCCTCTTGTGCATATTCATATATATAATGATATACAATTTTTGTATATATCATCAGTTCTGCATCTCACTCTCGTGATTGCTTTATATAGATGATTTATTTCTAGAAAAATATGGAAAGACGGATAGATCAAGTTTGTTTATCTTTTTGGAAATAAAATGACGAGTCCTCCATATGATCATGATGTCTCTAAAAGGGAGACTAAATGCTTTATTTGATGTAGAGGCTTTAGACGTGCAGTTGTGAGTTTGTGATTGTTGTATGTCTTGCACAACCTGAGCTGTACAACTTTTATCCATAGCCTACTACATAGGAAATGGTTCCCCAAAATTCAAACCCTAGAAGCTGATTTTGATTAGGACAATGGTATACCGTCTTCTGTCTGGCCCTTTGCATCCACGGGATGCATTGTGGTGGGATACCACAATGTAACCCATGGATGCAAAGGGCTCGGCTGAAGTCTTCTGCTTAGGTATCATTTTCATTTTGATTATCTTGAAAAAGTGTGGTACCATGTCAATAGAATGCTCGAGAGATAACAGATCAAAGGGGTTATAAACCGAAAAAATTCATGACAGGATATACGAATAATAAAAACCAGAAGATCTTTTAATGGAGGATAAAGCAAGTGGTGATGTTAATAAATTCATAGATTACAGCATTTTAACAATTAAGTGCTGGATAAAAGAACAGAGAAAACTTGAGTACGTACCTAGTCTGAAAAAGTAATCTTGAATGTAAACCAAAAGATAGTAAAAGAAATAACGAGATGATTGGCAATGGAAATCTTTGTATTTTTAACTGAAAACCATATGTCAAACTCAAAAGAGAAAACTGAACAAATGTATCATTTTGTTAGAAGACCATTCTGATCAGATGAGTCATAGCTTTTAAGTTGTAATTCCTTACTTCTTTTTTCACTGAAATGTTCAAACCACTGTGTAAATAGAAAACGTGCACTATTTAGATGTTAAAAGTGATCCAACACGGAATGATTTTCAAAGCACTTGTTCAAACAGTATAATTTTTTTTTTAATGGTGACTTGCGATCCTTTTGATGTCACGGTATATTTTAGAATGCCATTTGAGAAATTAATGCTACACACAAAATTATTAATAAGAGGAGTTGAATCCAAGGACAGTTGAATTCATTATTATCTTGAATCACCAAATGGAAATATGCTTCTTTATGTGGTTAAAATATCAGAGTTTTGGATGGATTGGATAGAGCAGCGCCGTTTTGTTAGGCAAAACAAAGCCCTTTTCTGGGATTCCTAATTCAATAGAATTTATAGTGAAAATTTTCTCTTACATTGCCATTTCAAGAATTCATTATATAGAAATCATGCTATTTTTTCCCTCGCCGGCCAGAAAAGAATATTGGTACTGAACACGTCTAAATTATGAAAATTCGAAAAAAAAAAAAAAATCTGATCTCAAACCATATAAGTATTGGCATATCTCAACTCTTTTTAATCAAATTATTAGTCAAAGATACCCAGATACAATTTTACCTCTACTTTGTTTTAACTTTATGATCCCAATGTGATATTGCTATCCTTTTGCTTCCTTAATGCTTAAAACTTTACAAAGCAGGCTTCTTAACTGTGATGACTAATTTATGAGGACCAAAATAAAGATCTTGAATGATCGCCAGCTATAAGACGTGTAAATTAAGCATAATTGCAATAGAATGTTCCACTGTTCCAACTATTGTTTTGTTTCTTGATTATTTGGAATTATGAATTAACCACATTATCTTGGTTGAACATTCGAAAAGTTTATGTCATGCATATAAATAATTTTCATTCAGAAACAAAATATACCTAAGTTGAGCAAGCCTTCATCACATTTTCTTGTGGAAGAAAATGGTGACACTGGCAAGACCTGTGGTTTTTTTATCTTGTTAATTTCCAAATAGATTTTTAGATTTAGTGTGGCTTATTGTTTCTTCCTTTTTAAGTATTTCCTTTTTTCACAATCTTGCTGTTGGGGAGTTATTCATGCTCTATGCTTTTCGTTCTAGTGAGAAATAACAGCAGAACAAAGTCAATCTGATTCAGAATAATGGTACTTATGTTGTTTAACTGCGCGCTTCAAAGCACTCTCTACATAAATCACACCAAATTTACAAATCAAATAAAAGATAATTAATAAAGACGGAACATTATTTGCATTACAACTGCCTTTTATTCATACAAACAGATAATTTTGATGAAATTTTATGGCATGAAATTCATCTAGGCTTCAATAAAAGTTTTTTGGAACAAATTACACACAATATTTTAACAATTTCTTGATGAAGAAAGTTCAGGAAGAATCTTTTATGAAGATCAAATTGAATTCTGCTTCAAATCTGCATAAGTTCTTGGAAGATCTTCATGGAAGAAGCCGGCAAACCAAGAAGGACATTGATGCTTTTCCTCTCTTTTCCATGAGATAGGAAGAGAGTTACTTCTTTCTCAGGCAAAGCCACAGGCCCTGATAAAAAAGGCTCTCCCCACCCGAAGTCTGTAGTGTGGAACGATAGCCTAGACCAAGTGGTGATCAAAAGAGTTGCAGCCAGAGAAGGCCTAGCTCTTGTTACTTCAAAATAGTCTATGGCTGATCTCATATAACTGTCTGTGACCATATTAACAGCCTCTTGAACTAACCCCACTGCGAAAGACAATGGATTTTCCACAAGCTCCCCAGCACTACAAAGCGAATTCGTCAACACAATCCCATTGCCAAAGTACCCATCTGGCATTGGAGGGTCAAATCTAGATCGTCCATCGACAGCAAACAGGAGCTTTGTCTGTTGATCACGCTGCAGCCTCAGCGCCTGAGTTCTAGCTCTCCAGACGAATGCCGAGAGGGCTTCAAATGTAGTGCACTTGGATAGAACCCCATCTTCCATGGCTTTCCTCTTGAGTTGCTGAAGCTTCTCAGTGTCAAAGCAGAAGGACCTGTAGATCATTTCTTCTTCGTAAACATCAGCAGTGTTTGACATGTCTTCGATCTCAGCAAATTCGTGGTGAGGGAATTCTGGCCTTGGCAGTTTTCTGGCTTTGAATATGCTTCTATCTAGAAAAGGAGGGACTTTTAGAGGCAGGCCTCTGGCTGTTTCACCCCACGAGTTCACAAATTCCATAGCACCAAGCCCATCAAACATGCAGTGATTCATGCATAGCCCCAGAACAAATCCTCCACATTTGAATTTCGTCACCTAGAATACAAAATTATCACTTTAAAAGATGTTGTGCCATAATTGAGATAAAAAAGGGGGGAAAAAACTCAAGATAGAGTAAGTAGTTGTATGAGATTTCTATTATAGTAGTAGTATGAGATCGATTTCTATTTCTTTGTTCATAGCTAAATATTTGTTACTTCCCTGAGAAAATTGGTTCTCAAGTGTTTTGCAATAATGTTATATCATATTCCTAATAATTGAACAAGGAATCTGATAATCCAAACATGAGACTTTCAACTTGTAAATTGTGGAAGAAAAGGTTGGTACAAACACTATATAACATGACACTACTTAATTATTAGAACATTCTATAAGTAATTCTGCAGAAATATTATGTGATTTTATTATACCTGAGTTTTTTATAACCCGAAAATCATCAATAGAAAAAAAAATAAAAATAAGAGTGACATGACATGAGTAACCTGAACCACCAGAGGAGGCATATCTAGAATGTTTTTGGCATTAGGAATGTCATAAACCAGCTTCCCAAGAGTGACAGGATCAGGCTTTGTGTTGTCACCTATCTCATCTATGGTAATGTTGGCTTCTGCCTCAACAAAGACAGCACCTTCACCATTGCAATCCACAATCAGCTTCCCCTCAGAGCTGATTGTCAGCCGCCCTGCAAGCGGGTAGTAGTGTACTAGAACCTTTGACAAGGCATCCTTAATTACCTCCACAGCTTTCTTATTCCCTTCCTCATTTGATTTGAAGCAGTAAATTGTACGAACTATCACCGCGATGTTCTGATCAAGGTTTGAGAGGAAGTAAAAACCCTTGTCTGTTCCCTCTGCAGGAGCAACCAGAATTGGCTCTCTTTGCTTTACAATGAGTTCAAACTTATGGTCACTAGCATTCCCCATTAGAAGATACCCTTCACTCTGCAAAAACCAAGTCATACAAAAGGAAGAAAGTAAGTGTTTGGTTCATGCAAATCTGGTACTTAATAGTACAACGTTTCATGAGTTATAGATGACACACGTGATTTTCCTGAGAAACTGAAGACACAAATATTATTACAAGTGACATAGAAAATACCTGTAATGCAGGAGTATTCTATTGATGTCTGGTTGTCTTGAAGCTAACAATAGTATGGTATTGAGAATGGGGTGAGAAGTGTTATATATATGTGGGAGTTAGGGCAGAAAATAAAATGCCAATCATATGTTTTGGTTAAGAAAATATGGACAAACTTACCAAAAAAAACAAAAGACGTACAAGCAAAAGGGATGGGTGATTGGAATCCATTCATACACTAAGGTATATACATAAATATATGTGTGAATGTATATAGAGAAAGAGACTTTTTTTTTAGGATTGTTTATTGGAATGTTTTACTATTGTTACATGGATGGTGGTAGGTTGGCCATGGCACCAAAACATTTACAGTCAAGAAGTGTAGTTGAAGAGGAGACTGGGGGGCTGTTTGGTATTGGTTGGCGTCCAAATTGTGGCTACTTGATCCACTCTTATACAATTTTAAATAATTGATCCCTTGTCATTTAATAAATTAATTCATGTTAAACACCCTGATTTTGTTGCATTCTTATACCAAAATGTATGACCAAAATCAAATTATTAACCATTTTGTATCAAAACTGTTTTAACAACTGGTGCATTATTGATATTATTGGTGCCAACATATATATATATATATATATATATATATATATTATTGTTATTATTATTATTATTATTATTATTTCAGAATTTTAAAACTAGTGCATTATTGGTAGTGCAATTGTGCAAATCTGTGGGAAACTTTCAACATAATTTTTTGGTACAGAAGAAAGCAATTCCACTCATTTACAGCAATTAATAATTCAAGAATGAAGATCACCTTCTCCAAAAAAAATTCAAGGTGTTCAAGTTTCAACTGGGGAATTTTTCAACTAGGTACAACTACCAAAAAAATAATTAGGGAAAAGAAAACAACTATTGAAAAATTTTAAAACCAAGACCTACTTTGGTGTGACATAACATTACCTGCTAAAATCAAGCATGTAATATATTTATGATAACTTGACTCTGTGTCCTTCAAGTTTCTGTTAAATGATGAAATAGATTTATGATATTCAAATCCAAAAAATAAATACACAAATTTAGAAGAAGTTGGCTCCTCCTATGATCCTATCTAGTGGAGTTGGTCCAACTAAATTTATGATTTGATGCGGCCCGGCCCATTCATATCATTCAGTTAGGCTGCTTCTTATTAAACTGATCCAACTGTAAATTAAGGGCCTTGGCTGGGCTTCCTGTAGCCTCAAAACGGGCTTCAAAGTTCAAAAAGTCATTTGCCAATAATAAAGAGTGTTTGGTAAATTTTTTAAAAACGGACTTTTAAAAAGTTTTACTAGTTTAGAAGCCCGATTGACCAAAACTAATAAAAGATGTTTCCTAATCGACTTCCTACAAACAACTTATTTTTTTTTAACTAATAAATATAAAAATTTTATCTTTCTCTTTCTGTATCATCTTTTTCGTCCGTTCAAAGAGATTGAACAATTGCAGAAAAAATTACTATTGACTCTTATTTGACTTCAAAGTCTGAAGAGTTCTAAGATTTATAAACTCTCATCCAAAATTCAACCCTATGTAAAATTTTAAACAACTTTTCTTTTTTTAAATATATATATATATATATATATATATATATATATATATATATATTGTAGGTGCAAAATTTCTCTATAAAAGAATTAGAAAGAAATAGAACAACTCACCCAAAATAAAATAATAAGTAACAAGAACAATTCAGAGAAAAGTGTATATTGCTTTATGGTCTTTATTGGAGGTCTATGCCTCATTTATATACAAAAATGTGGTGGAATTATAGTAGGACTCGCATTACTTGCCCTCTAATACATTCCATATACAATGTTCTTTCCTATAATGTTGTTTCCTTCTATACTCCTTTCCATGCTAGATTTCTCTTGTTGTAAAACTTCCTTGTAAGAAGGATCCTTTATTTGGTAGGACTGGTTCCGTCTATAAACAAATCTGGGCCAAATGTAACTTGGTCCAACTGACTTTATTAGCGGACTGGAAGTTCAAATAAGGCAATCTTGGGCTGTTAGTGATTTAATCTGGGCTTAAACAGGGTTAGGCTTTTGTAACCCACCAAGAGATTAAGGAATAAAGCTTATGTTGTGGTTATATGGCTGGCTTTTATTAGAGGGGAATTTTTCCCTCCACACTTTACCCCCAATTCCCTTTTTAATTGGACTACGGCTCCTAATTAGAAGGGAATTGAAGTTGTATGGTTGCCAATTTTGTAAGAGGCAGTTTCGAGGAACGACTATTGACATTCTGACCAAAGGGCTTCTTCGCAACTTGCTTTTGGCTCACTACGTTCATTATGCTCATTGCTTTAACGCGATTCCAGGTTAGTCGCTCGTCCACTTTTCTGATTTCCTTCGCATTGTGAACACTTCATCCACTCATAGTTATATAGAAATTATGGATTCTGAATCCACACCCTCATCATTGCCCACTCTTCTTAGAATTCCTCCTCCTAGGATTTCTAAACTCCTCGAATCTGCAAATGACTCGGTCATTCAGTTGGATGATTCTTCACCCCAAGCGGAGTATCTACTTCAGGGTCGATAGTGTTTTCACAAAAGAAGAAAGAAAGATGATTTTGTCTATTCGGCGTATCAAGTTTACCATTGACTCCGTAATGAAGGAATTTGAGATTCCCTAGGGGGTAAAAATTGTCGAATACCCAAAGGGTGCTGATTTTTGTTCCGACGAAGGCGTCGGAGAAAAAGAATTGCTCTTATCAGTAGGGCACCTAAATGCTCTTCAATTTCCTCTTCACCCCTTTTATCACTTAGCCTTCAATAAGTTAGATCTTGCCCCTCTTCAAGTAAACCTTAACTTTCTTCGGATAGTCTCGGCACTTTTGGTCCGCCAAAGGTTAGAGAAGAGACTTGAGTCTTGCTAACCTGTTAATTACCTACACCATCTCTAGGCATGGGACCGAGCTTGGCCGTTTTTATTTTACTTCCTCTCTTTAACAGAGGATATGTATAGACCTTCCTAATTCTGAGAAAAAATGGAAAGAGCGGATGATAATTGTTAAAGGGAATTGGGCTATGTCTCAGTCGAGCAAACTTCCAATCCCACGCAAATTTGGAAAGTTAGGTATAGAATATTTCCCACCCCTTCATGACAAGTGCTCTGGTTGTTTCCTATGTCGAGCCTTACTCTTTCGTCATACTAATGAATTTCTTGGTATTTTTTCAGTGACCTTCCCCTCCTCAGCAGCTAAGAATAGGCTCTCCTTTCTTGAAGGATAGGTTTGGAGTGATCCCCCATCCGTTGAGGAATTGCTCTCTTCATCCAACTTAAAAGAAATCGCTTCCAGTGCTGTAGTAGCCTTCCTTCTTTTGACTGTTTCCCTCTTACTAACGAGGAGAAGAAAAGAGTTGAAGCTCTTAAGAAGAAAGCAGCGAATGATCATCCTCTTGTTGTTATCTGTTCTACTGAGCATGAGAAGGAGGTTGATGAACCTCTTCTGGAGAAGACAAGGCAGAATCCTCCTTCTACCAGCAAGGGTAAAAATGTTCCCAAAAGTAAAGGGAAGAAGGCTAATGAAGCTGGCCCTGAGGCTGAGGTTAGGGATTACATCTTAGTTGAAGCTGGAGAACCTTGGAGGCCCATCTTTTCCAGAGCTGACAAGTCAATTCTTCATTCTGGAGATTCTGTAGTCACTGACCCTTCTGATGTTTTAGCAGTAGCTAGGGGAATGTGGTTACCCAAGGATGAGGAAATTATTGGTAATATGGGGCTGGACTAACTACTTCCCTCTGTCCCTGTTCGTGCTATCGAGGTTTGCATTTTCCCTCCTTTTTGATATTTACTTAACTTTCCCTTCACTCTATTTACTTCATTAATGATTGTGCAGAACATGTATCACACTATGGCCTTGTGTGCCACTGCTGAAGCCCAGTCAATCTTTATTCAGAAAATGGAGAAGGAGCTAGAGACTACGGAGAAGAAATTCTCACATTCGCTCAAGGATGCAAAGATGGCTTACAATGCCAGAGATACATACAAGAGTCAACTTGCATCCGCTGAAACTAAGATGAAGGAATTGGAGGCTGAGAACCTTCGATGGAGGGATGTGGTTAATACCTGCACAACTACTAGAAAGCAAATGCAGGAACGCTATTCTTCCTTGGTGCAACTATCAAGTGCTAAGGCTTTTTGGTTCGGCTTCAACCAAGGCTGAGGTGACAAACAGAAGGACCCGAGGCTTTTAATGCTAACATGGGGGTATATTTCCCTTATGATATGGGTCCGAAGGCCTAGGAGGTTGAGGTGCTATTCACTGAGATAGTAAAGTCTCATCAAGGGGATCCTCCAGCATCAAGCTTTCCAGTTCCAGTAGCTCCAAGCCATCCAATCGTGGTGGATGTTTTCGACTCTGCTTCTTTTAACCCCAAAAAGAAGTAGAGTTGTGTAATTTTTTATTTTGAAACAATGCACTTTGAGGCAGTATATTTTTGCTCTGGGGCTGTAATGATTAAACTTATTTTTATGTGATTTGCATGTCTATGAATGCTTTTGAATTGCATACAATTACTAAGTAGCAATGTTTCCGTATTTTTGAGGAAGATTCACTGCCTAAGGACTTCAAACTTCTTATGGTCCGAAGCAAAACAGGATAAGTGGTAAGAAGGGGATTCCTATGACAGTTCGGTTACTATCTGAAGATTATTTTTCCATCTAGTGATATAACCGTCAAGGGAACCCTTCTTGCCATTTACTTATATGGAATGGGTATATCCACACTTATTTTTCCGTGTACTATTTCGATGTGGGACAAAACTTTTTATGGGTTGAACATTAATATTGGGCTAGGTATAG